TCTCTCTCTCTCTCTCTCTCTCTATCTCTCTCTCTCTCTCTCTCTCTCTCTCTCTCTCTCTCTCTTACGGGGGCCAAGTCCCACCAGCAGCATTGAGCTACCTCAACGCCTGAATCTGGACGTGTTTGTGGAGACGTGCATCCAGATTCAGGCGTTGAGGTAGCTCAACGCTGCTAGTGGGACTTGGCCCCGGCGCGATGCACTCCTCAATTTCGTTTTCCTTCTTCCTTTTTTTTTTCTTTTTTTTTTTCAAGTTTTCTTTTATTTTAGTTAGTTTTTCTTTTCATTTTCTTCCCATTTATTGTAAAGAAATTTTGATGTCCTCGAAGTACCGGTACTTCGAGGCTCGTCACCTTAGCTGTAGGTTAGGCCTACCGGTAGCTGTAGGATCGGGCCTTAACAACCGGTAGGTACTGGTGGTTTAAATCACCAGTTCACCCACACCTATTTCAACGAACCAAAGAACGCATTTTGTCGAGCCTGAAAGAGACTGGTACCAGCCGTTGGCAAAATGTGGGCGGTACTGGTACCGGCCTCTCTACGGACTGAAGTGCTGGACGTCTGGCCAGCAGATGGAGCAAAAGGAAGTACCACGTTTTCACTCATGTACGGCGGTAGCCAGCTCTTGAATCCAGGAAAGCAGATGGAAAAAAAAAAAAAAAAAAAAAAAAACACAGGGCCTTGTCAGTTCAATGATGATATCTCAAGGCCATTGCCTTTTCCATAAGAGAAAAGAGGAAAAAAAAAAAAACGACTGAGTCTATGACACAACTGTGGCCCTCTGTGGGCCTTGCTGCCAGCCTGCCATAAGTTATGGGGGGCAAAAAAAAACAGCAAAAACCTGCGGCGGTTCATCTAGCCATGTTCTCAGTGAAGGTCCATTATGAACTTGCACAGTCGGTGAGTGGTGGAGCCACACCCTTGGCTGGTTCTTTTATTTTTTGTTTTTGTTCGTTTTTTTCTTTTGTCGTTTTCCTCAGTGGTGCTCTTTTTGGGGTGTGACAGCTGCAACATATTTTTTTCTCGTGTGTTCCTTTTGTAACGTTTTTTCTTTTTTTTATATGGTGCAATTTTTCTTTTTCTTTTTCGGCAGTGCAGATGTTTTCACTCCTGTTGCAACCAGACCTAGCACACGAGGACGTTTTTTTTGGGCCCACCACCCTTGTCCTGCCAAACCTCTACCGGCCCTCAGCTGAACGGCCCAGGTCTGTTCGCAGTTCACTGCAATAGATGAACAGTGCTCGTCAGTGAAGTGGTGGTTTAAAACCACTATGTCTCAGTCAAGGTTCAAGTTACGAATAGGCAAAAAAAACACAGTGAATGCAGTTTAGTCGCAGCGGCGGTTTGTAATGTGCAAAACAAAAAAAAATAAAAAAAATAGCGGTACTTCTTTTTGGCCGCTTTTTAACTCAGGCCCTCTGCACACCACTGTGTGCCCCTCTAATTATGACATCCGGACTTACTAGAAAGTGCCGCACTTGGTTTATTGCCGTTTTGAACTCAGCATGCCAGTGACCTGCCGGTACACATGTTTTTTTTGCCTTTTTTTTTTTTGGAAATTGGAACTCATTTTTGTTCACCAAAATGAATGAATGGGGTGGATCGCAGAGTGAAAGGATTTCACGCTGCAGAGAACCCAAGTCCGGTTCCAGGGTCCCAAATTGTCCCAGTCCCAGTTGGGCCCAGTCCTAGATGGTCCTGGTTCCAACCGGTCCCAGTTCGAAAGAGTCCTAGGTAGGGTCTATAGGGTCCAGGATCTGAAGGAGGTCGAAGCGTCGTAGGGCGTGTTGAACCGGTTCTGAACAGGCAAGGCCGTTAAAAG